TAATATTGATGAAACAGTGTTAGAGATATGAAATTTTCACCTAAGACTAATTTACCTGACTCGGTTTATTCCTTATGCTCTTCAGTTCAAATTCTAGTGGTTGGACAGTGTTTTCAAGTTGCTGTTTCGGGAAAACTTGTTCACTGTATTGTTTCTCCCTTAAAATTAATTTTGTTAGAAAATGAAAAGTTCATTTTATGATCTGGTTCTTCACATGCCGGTTTATTACCCTAATGGAATTTCTATGTTCTCATTTTTTTTTTCATTTCTAAGTCTCACATTTTAAATTCCTCACTTCAATCTCTTCATAAAGATATATATATATTTGTAAAGTAGCAATGATAAGACATAATGCTACTGAGTTTCAGTCAAGAGTAACTCTGGTGAATAGTGTAGGAAAGAAATTTTGCAATTATTCAGTAAGGTATGAGTTGAAAATTACCCTTTTTTCCCCCACATAGTCATAAATTACTCCTTTATTAGAACAGAGAATTTAGTTACTAATTAAGAGGAGTTGCTGTTTAGAAACAAGTTTATAAGTTCATGAGAAATAAAATTTCAACTTCATGAAATATTACAGGTACTCCTAAATGATCTACAGTGGGAGGTAACATCCACAGATGTCTTTTCCAGAACACAGATCCGCTAATTAGCATAATCCAAGGCGAGGCTGGGGAGTCTACTCCCTGACGCCCTACACTTTATGTTTCTTCTTTTGCAACACTTTGAACTTACCTTGTTGACTATTATTTATTTAGTGAATCATTTTTAAATCCCTTTTGAAACAAGGCAGGATCCATAGTAAGTAATTAAACAATAAAGAGTAATCGGTATTTTCAGCATAGACCTTTGAACTGATCTTATCTCTGCATGAGAGAGATGCTGAAGAAACTAACCAGTAATCACTTTCCACTTTACTTTTTATTCCATCTATTCATATGTCAAGAATAAAACTGCATAAATTTTTTTTTGTTTCTGCCTTGAGAGAATCGTTCATTTCATAATTCTGCAAGTGGGAATGTGAAGTAATATGAATTTTCTGGAGGACAATTGAGAGATAAGGATCAAAGGTCTTTTTTTAAAGAAATATAGAATGAGGAGATATATATATATATATTGCTGTGTTATTTCCAAGAGTCTCATATTCCACAATACTAAAGAAAATTTCTCCCCTGTAAAATCCCAAAAGGTCAGTTAGCAATGGTAAGACTTCTCCTACATATCTACAGTATTAAATACAGAGTTCAAAGATTTCTTCAAAACCAAGAAATTCAGTACCTCAGGCTGCAGAGCTCTCGTTCCCACGCCACATTTTGACCTTCTAACTGTGAATGCATTTCTCTTGCTTCCGAAAGCTCTTTTTGCAGCTTGTTAACCTTATTTTCCATTTTTCTAACTTTTCCTCTAAGCAGTTCACAGTCAGATTCTTTGCATTCTATTAAGCTTCCGAATGAATGAACTGCATTCTGAATTTTCAACAAGGTAACATAATCTGCATTAGGAAGAAAACACAAATAGAAATAAAATGAATGAGTAATTTTTGTGTATGAAGGACTGTGCATTTCGCATTCACTCATCCACACATTGAACAGATGGTGCTGAGCATCTATTCTGTGGAAGACATTCTTCTAAGCTCTGCGGATATTAAAAGAATGACAAAGTAGTATTGTGAACATCATGTAAATAAATCTGACAATCCAGATGAAGTGGGTAAATTCCTCGAAAGAGAGAAATTACAGAAGCTCAATTAAGAAAGAACACATAAGCTAAAAAGCCCTATATCTTAAAAACCAAAACGAAAGTCTTGTTTAAAGACCTGACCACAAAGACAATTCCAGTCCCAATGGTTACACTGGTGAATTCTACCCAATATTTTAGGAAAATTTAATACCAGTTCTACACAAATTCTCCTCAAAAAATGAAGAGGAAGAAATATGTCCTCATTCTACAAAGCTAGCATTAACCTGAATCCAAAACCAGACAAAGATATTACAAGAAAGAAAACTAATGTCATGAAAATGGAGGTAAAAATTCTAAACAAGAGATCAGCAAATTAAATCCAACAATACAGGATAATTCATCATGGCCAGGTGAGGTGTATCCCAACAATGCAGGGCTGTTTTAACACGTAAAACTCAATTAATGTTATTCATCATATAAACAAACTAAAAAAGAAACACCATATGATCATGTCAGTGGATAAAGGAGGCACTTCCCAAGCCTCAACATCTTTTCCTGATAAAAAACTTCCAGCCAACTAGGAACTACGGGAACGTCTTCACTATGACAAAGATCTGTCCTAACCCTACAGCCTGGCACCATATGTAGTGGTGGAAAACGGAATGCTTTTCCCAGAAGGTGAGGAACCGGACAGGAATGACTTCTCTTACTCCTCCTACTCAGCACTATACTGGAGCCAGTGCAATCAGGCAAAATAAAGAAACAAAAGGCATCTGGATGGGAAATGAAGAGGTAAAACTGTCTGCTAGTCAGCGGGGAATATGATTACATGGTGCGAGTCAGCTAACTCCAACCTGTTGGCTGGGTTGCTTGCTTTGGTAAATAAAGTTTTACTGAAATACAGTCACGTCCATTAACTTCTGTATTGTCTATGGCTACTCTTGTTGCAACAGTGACAGAGCTGATTAGCTGTGACAGAGAATGCATTCATTGGCTGCAAGTCTTAAATGTGAACTATCTTTAGTAAGACAGTAGTTTAAAGAAGAAAAAGCTTGACCACCTTTGGTTACATAGAAAATCTGAGAGAATCCATAAAAAGGCTACTAGAACTAATCAATGGGCTCAGCCAGGTTGGAGGGCACAGAGTCAGTATACAGAAATCAACTGTATTTCTATCATCAGAAACTAAAATTTAAATTATATTATTTTAAAACAGACAAACAAACAAAAATATACGACTTACAACTGCACTGAAAAATAAGAAATATAGGTAAACTCATGAAAGACGGAAAGACCCAGACACTAAAAACTCTAAAATATTACTGAGAAAATCAAGGAAGACCTATATAAGTGGAGAAATAAACTTTGTTCGGGGTTAAAAATGCCATATTGTTAAGAAGTCAATTCTCCCCAAATTAATCTACAGATTCAACATAATCTACATCTAATGTCCAGGACACTAGCAGACTTTTCTTTTTCTCATTGACAAGCTGATTCTAAACTTCATGTGGAAAGAAGGGAAATAAAATGAAACAAGATGAAGCCAGAGGACTGTGGCCTTTAACCATGGAGCTGTGAGAAGCAGGAGCTGGATTTTAAGCAAGGGGGTAACAAAGATCTGAATTTTAAAAACTATCTAGTAATCATGGTTGCGGTGTAGACCAAGGTTCCAGGAGGTGGAACGGCAGAGAAGAAAGTCCTGAGGTGATTTCAGCATTCTAGGAGGGAAGCAGTGATAACCCTGACCTTGGGTGAAGGCGTAGGGGCAGCAGAGTCAACAGAAAGCACAGGGAGTGGGAACGGCCACAGCCCCTGGCTGGCAGCACAGAACACGTCTGATTCTGCTGTAACACAAAGCAGGTTTCTGAGGCGCAGCGGACTGTAATATATCCTTGCTCTCTGGGGCAGTACTAGGTGTGCACAAGTTACCACGAGATACTTAAAAAGGCTTTGTAGTCATGCGGGGGTCCTACCTTTACTCTCCAGGCCAAGTTGTTCGATTAGCCTCAGGGTATTCTTATAATTAGGGTAAAGCGACTCGCGGTCCTCGGGAGCTGTTTCCGGTGACAGAGTTAAGTCATCGAGGTCATCCACAGAATTCACCTGCTCTTTGACCTATAAATAAATAATGCTATTTCACAGTGTCTCCAACATAGTTATAAAATATGCTCAGTGTACTGAGGTGATAAATATCCATCTTTTTATGAGAGCAAAAACACAGACTCTTCTTGAAAGAACTGATTTTTGTCAAAAGGCTAACTTTATCAATACTGTTTCTAAATTATTTTTAAGTAAATATCTCTACAACAAAGGAGGATTTTCTGTTTTTCCACTCTATCTTTTATAAATTTTTTTACTATAGGATAATATTTTTATAATTAATATTTTACTATACCTTGTCCTTTTTAGCAGATGTTTTCTTTGAAGACCTAAAAAAAAAAAGCAATTCATTTCAGCCAAATACTAAATATTGAAAATACAAGAAATATGTAAACCTATTATTTTTTATATAAAATCTTTGCATTGATAATTAATTTTCAATAAAAGGGATTAAACAAAAAATGGAAACCTTAACATTAAAGGACAAAGAAAGTATATCAATTATATTATTAACAAAGTATTAAATTTAGATCAAGTGGACAAACAAAGGAAAAGGAAAAACAAGGTTACTTGCATTATTTGATAGGAAAAAATATACCAGGATTTTCTTGTTGTTGTCATTTTCAATAAAAACTGGTATTTAAGGCACTAAAACCTATTTGGAAAGTATTACTTAAGTTCTTATATGAAAGAAACCCTTTTCTAATAATCATGAAATTAGCTTTTTCGAGGACTTAGTATGCAACTACTATGCATTATTATCAGGACTTCACATGTCTTAAAGACATTTTAATCCTCTCAACAATCCTGGGAAGTAGGTAATACATTAGGTACTTTACCCAGGAAGAAAATGAGGCACAGAAAGGCTAAGTCACTTGCCGAAGCCCGTATGTCTGCCCAGAATTCCAACCCAGGCAATCTGGCTTCAATACTTGCATTTCACAATATGCTAAGAAAGTAATATTTATTTTTTAAGTATTTTAACTAATATAGTAAATGAATCTCTATTATTATTCTATGTCTAGGTATAGTTATAAATAATAATTTCTGGGGCATATATCCAGAAGGATCCCTACTTCAAAATGACACCTGCACCCCAATGTTCATAGCAGCACTATTTACAATAGCCAAGACATGGAAACAGCCTAAAGATCCAACAGATGACTAACTAAAGAAGATGTGGTATATTTATGCAATGGAATACTATTCAGCCATAAAAACTGACAACATAACGCCATATGCAGCAACATGGATGTTCCTGGAGAATGTCATTCTAAGTGAAGTAAGCCAGAAAGAGAAAGAAAAATACCATATGAGATCACTTATATGTGGAATCTAAAAACACAAACAAAACAAAACATAAATACAAAACAGAAGCAGACTTATAGACATAGAATATAAACTTTTGGTTGCCAAGGGGACAGGGGTGGGAAGGGACAGACTGGGATTTCAAAATGTAGAATAGATAAACAAGATTATACTGTACAGCACAGGGAAATATATATAAGAACTTATGGTAGCTCACAGCAAAAAAAAAATGTGACAATGAATATATGTATGTTCATGTATAACTGGAAAATTTGTGCTCTACACGGAATTAGACACAACATTGTAAAATGACTATGACTCAATTAAAAAAGTTAAAATAATAGTAATAATAATTTCTGAATCTTAACACCTATTTTTTAAAAATAAAAAGACTTTAGACCTAGGCAATACTGGAAATCAACTTTCAATAAAGATTTGCTTTTGCTGAAGAAATTAATCAGTGGGCATTCACTACCCATTCAGCTGTTTGTTCATGCATTTGACATGTCCTTATGGAGCAAACAAAACATGTTAATAACACTTTTGGTACAGGAATGATGGCTTTTGTAATTTAGAACTTAGTACTCCAAAAGTAATCATCTGTGATAGACTGTTAATAGTTTATTATTCTATTGTATATAAACAAAATCTTCCCCTTCTTCCTAGAATCTAAACAAATATTAAGTTAATATAATCTGATAGTTTACAATAGCATACAAAACCATAGCCACCCATGATGATACTGTCAAAGACACTATAATATCTAGAATCATCAAGGAATGATTAAACCCTATTCAGTATGGCCTAAGTGTGTGTATAGTTATTATGAGTATACAATTTTTAAAAATCTATGTACAATAGTGTAACTTTAAAGTCATTATCTGCATATTCAATTGTGTAAGAATATTACACTTCAGAACCAATGAATAAGCCCTTACAACTATACATGAATAGAAGTTTACTACAATATTTTAAAGATAATGTAATATAATCAATACACTTTCTAATATCGGAAATGCAAACAAGGTTAAACTGAAAAACATGTCTTCTATGGAATCAATTCCAACAGCATAGAGACATACTCTACAAACTACCATCTTATCATTAAAAAAAAGGGGGGACCCTCACGAGCCCCACATCCCCCTTCAGTTATCACCCAGTCCTCTCCTGCCTTCCCAGTGAATGTTCTCTAAGGGGTTGTTTAGACTGATTCACTACAGCCCATGGGGACGTATTATTGAAACTTCTTCTGGTCAAAGGCACTTGTCCTCATCTTAACCTTTCGGCAGTGTTACTCTGATAGTTGAGAAATCCCTTGCCTAGGCCTTTGCACTATATGATGCTGTTCTATTTCCAGAGAAGATAATCACTGCCAATGTCTTCACCTAGAAATAAAGAATTTGTAGATTTTCCCTGCCATGACCTAGATCTCCTTCACTTAACCTGCTGTTGTCATTCATGTGTAGGAGACCACCCGCCAGTGAGACAGTCTTCTCAAATACATGTGAAGTCACAGATGCTTCTAATGTCTGTTTTCCACTTTCATTCTTCTTTACTTCCTTCATAGGCAAGCCAGGAGAGCTACTTTAAAACAATCTATAAAAAAGCCAATTTAAAAAAAAATACTACTAATAAATTTAAAAAAAAACAATTTTTGTAAAATTCCAACTCTTACCCATCTTCAGTCATTTATTAATTCACAAAATGGTTATCAAGTGCCAAAC